CCTTGCTGCAAAGTGCTGCCAAATCCGCAATGCTCAACGAATTGACTTGAAATTTTGACTGCATACTCTCAAAACATAGGCATAGTTTTGCAAGAAATTTAAATAAGAAATGAAGCCCTATGATGGAGAAGTAAGACGCCAAAATCATAGAGGGCAATTAATTCCGGACGGAGGAAGTATTAGTTTCGCTGTTCAGCCCACACAAGTTACAAAGTACAGCTGTGTTTAAAGCGCTCACTGGCGGTGTGTATTTTCGCGCGCTTTTGGCGCTTCAGGGAAACGTCACTCCGGTACTGCCGGAGGCATTGTGGAACGTTACAGCGGAGGGGCGCGCATCCTCTGGTGGATGCAAAAGAAGTATGCAGAATACTGCAACTGCCAGAAACGATTCGGGAAATGTCAGAAGCATGCGCAGCGTCATCTGTGACTTTGGACCCCATAAATCGTTCAGCGAAGTCATGTGCTGCACAAGAGAAGAACTCCAAGGCAACTGCAAGGTAGAAATGCACATTGTTTGGAAGAGTGGCTATGGGCCCAGTACTGCGCACGACTTGCATGTATCAAATTTCGGAGAGGTTTAAGGCCACAGATGCCCATTTGAGTTTGTGATTCATAATTGCGTCAATGTGCAAAAACACATTTGCTGTGAAACGAGAGAGCGTTCGCATTCATATCGTCCATTTCTTGAGCGGAGATACACAAAACTGCAATTTTGTGCACTATCATTACAGTTGGTCACAAATTGTGTTGTATAGCATGGCAGCGAGAACAAACAAATGATTCGCATTTGCAAATGTGGCAATTGGCGTCTAAACGCAAACGATGTGCTGACGATTTGAACAAATTATCTCATGCGTCGTCCTGACATAACTGCCATTGTCTTGTGATTCTCAGCTCAACACCACGAGCGAACGTGGGCGAGCGGCATTTGTTCAGGTCAGTAACGTTTCTTTATTGTTCTTTGACTGTGTGTTTTCATGAACTGATGATATCTGCTTGGTGAAGGGCAGCATTTCTAATGTTGCTAATTGCGCGTGAATCGCCCTATGCGCTTAATAAATGCATTTGGCGTCAGAAGTGCATCGACAGTATCGATAATTTTGTTGACACACCACATCAGATCATGCAGCCGCTCTCTTATAATAGAGAACTTACACCGAGAGCTGCATAATTTCCGTTACAAAGAGAATTCGAAAATATGATGGAAATTATCATGCATATGTACAGTGTACGTATACATACGGAAATTTCCCTTCCACAGTCTCCCAACATCTATGCTGTATGTTGCTCTCGACGTAGATAGAACGCTTCGAGAAGAGACACGTCACCATGCCTGGTCCTCGAACAAAAATCGGGACGCCCTTACCAAACAATACTGGTGGACACCAAAACGGGTTTTGAACGACGAGCCTATTCATACCGTTTCGCCGATGTGAATGGCGAGCGCGCACAAATCGTATACGCATATACGTATCTATATCGACGCCTGAGTGACTTCACGCTCACCAATTTGTCCACCATGAAAGCTTCTTCTGACATTCCTATTACTAATTGCTCGAAGGAAGGAAATATGCGCTTTGAATTCGATGTATTCTCTTGCATTTTTGAGAATCGGTTTTGCTGTGTCACCAGGAAGGAAAGCCGAGCCAAGCAGCGGCCCTGGCAGTCACTCTGTTTGTGCTAATAGCGTCTACGCTCCTCACCGTGTTGATGTTGTTCCTGCGAGCAATGAAGTCAAATACTCCGCTGGACAGAATCTATGAATATATGAAAAGGTGGCGCAAATGTGCTGGCAATAAAATCGCACCCTTTGTGCAGCAGTCCCTGACTTTGTCTTACCTGTTTGCGCAGTTTAATTGATAGGATTTGTGTACATTGTATACTGTACTTAAATTCATGACTGGATAATTGTTGAAAATCGTGTCCTGGGGGGTTCCCGGGTGAGTCGAGTAGATGTGTGCATGCGCGCGCGCAAAATGGATACTCAATGTGCATACCGTATCCGAATGTCAATGGCGCATTATGTTTGGGTGACGTAAGAAGCAGAGCATCCGCCGTGAGTGTGATGAAATGCATGTACACAAGCAGCGGGCAGCAAATTTGGTTGTGGAGGTACAAATCAGGCAGCGTCGACCGTATATCAAATTTGAGTGGGTCCTGGCTAGACTCGATCCTGACGTTGGAGCGCAAATGCCCACAGTGCCTCGGCTGTCCACGCAGCAATGCTGCCTTGAGACGGGTTCCCTCTCACTGGTGACACGCTTGAACTTGTGTTGCATACTGTTTCGAGTGTCAAGCCCGATGTGCATGATGACGGACGCAGAAAGAGCATTGCGATGTTGTATGTTTGCTTACGTCGGATAAATTCATTCTAATTCCCCATTGAAATAGCACTGTTGTCAACGCCATCAACGCAAATATCAATACGCCTGAGGAATGCGTGGATAAATGCCTGCTCTCAAGTCTTTTTGGAGTTCTGTACGTTACCAAACAAAGTGGATGGCGGATTGCCCACTTCTGTGAATGTCAGCCATCCAGTTCGAGTAAGCAAGTGACGAGCTCTTTTCATAGTCTTTCGCGCGAATTAATTATGTGTTCATCTAAGGCGGTTCAGTGACTCCTGGAGCAATGCAGGGGAGGGCGCACTGGCAGAAACCCTGAAGCACGCGATTGCGACTTGGAGTGTCCAATGGGGGAAGAACGAGCGGCAGAAGAGCCGGTACAAAGGCAACTCATCACCGCGCAATCGCAGCGAGCGAAAGGAGTACTCCAGGCGCTGCAGATACCCGGCGTTGACAACGTCGCCGTTCTGAAAGATGGAAAGGAATTTGTTGGCGCGCACGGCAGCGTGAAGGAAGGCGTGTGGCGCGACAAGGAGGGCGTCGCGCACAGCGTGGCCGTCAAAACCGTGAAGGTGGCCGGGAGCAAGAAGTGCCTCGCGATCATCAACAAGGAGATAGAGATCTTGGCCAGGCTCCCCCGCCACCCGAACATCGTCCGTGTCATAGGCGTGCGTCCAGGGCCGGAACCGGTCATCGTGGAAGAGTGGATGCCCATGACTCTGAAAGACCTCACGGAAACGGGGCCAAGGCTGAGCTACGGAGAGGTGGTGAGGATCAGCCTGGACGTGGCAAAGGGCCTGTTGCACCTTCACAAGAATCGGGTGACGCACTATGACGTCAAGCCTGCCAATATACTCCTGGACGAGGGGCGCAACGCCAAGCTGGCGGACTTCACGTGCTCGGTGTTCAAGATGTCGTCCTTGATCGATGCCGTGAGGCACGGTACGTTGGGGTACATGGCGCCGGAGTGCATGCAGGGCGGGGTGTCAAGATCGAGGCGGCGCGTGCGGGCGGAGAAAATAGACGTGTACAGTATGGGCAAAGTGATGATGAGTTGCGTTGCAGGAGGTTTGGATAACGAGAAGGTAAGGGCCGCGGCAAGAGAGTGCCCGCCCCGTTTGTGGAGCTTCATTTGCGATTGCGCCAGAATGGACGCTGAGGGCCGCCCGAGCTGCCAGCAGGCCGTGGAGCGCCTCGAAAGCATGGCGAAAGAAGGAATAGGTGATGCAGTGGGTTAGATTAGGAAAGCTCGGGTTGCGGGAAATGCGCATTTCACGGCGCTGATTTTGTGTCCAACGGAAGGTGACACACCAGTTTACCATGATGCTGGAATGGGGGCTGAGCCTAAGAGGTATCGGGCATTTTCACGCTTGAAAGTTTTGGCGAATTGATTCAGGATTCGTTGCAGCTCTATCATGGCCCGTGGAGCAATCTGCAGCCATAGAATGCTTTTTGATACTCGAAAGCTCTGTTGGGAAAAGTGCATTAAAGCGCACATGAACTGTATGTAGATGTGATGGCAGTGTAGACAGTGATTCGTTCCTCACGAGGCACGGGGATTATCTCGCCTCTCTTTGTATATATTGCACTGGAGGTTGGATCATACTACCAGAAAGATGTTTGATGCAAGCATCCACGTGATGTTTCAGAAGCAAATCGTGCATGTAACCATTTGCTTCTGTCTTTCGGAGGTTGGAAATGGGATTAACTATTCTGTTAATAGATTTCTGCCAAGGGCGACGATGGGTGGTCTGCACCGGCGATTCAAACGGTGCAGTTTGAACCTGGGGTTTACTCAACCCCGTCCCTTGGGATTTCTGGCCCCCCTAGTACCGTGGGTCAGTCAAAGTACGGTATTCCGAGGTGCCGCCCGCGATGGCGCCCTCGAGTTTGGCGGGCTTTGGCGGGGCGGCGGAGGGCGGCTATTTAGGCAGCCCCTCGGTCCCCCTCCTTATCTTGTTTCGCACCCAGCCCTCCCGCCCTGGATAGTGGAGTTCGGGTTAGTTGTGGGATGGAGAGGGAGTTAAGGGAGTGAAGTATGGGAAAGGAAGCTGACTCATGGGGAGTCGCTCACTGAAGTGGCGTTGAAGTACTAGCGAAGCGAATGGGCAAGTTTGATGGACGGGAACCTCGGGTATGTGACGTTGACGATTGTGGCTGTAAGTATTGTCATGGGGTACATGACGGGGTGGGCTCAGGAGACCGGCAAGGCAGAAATGGCCGGCTCTGGTGTCATTGCACCGACACTTGGATGCGCGGAAGGTGTGTGAGAAACCTAAGTACGACGGATAGCTAGCATCTCATGCACGGCTCGCCCTGATTGCTTGTTCTTTTGTAATACGATTCCGGAAAATGAGCGTCCTCCACGTCTGCACGATATACAGAAGTAATGGACGCCTCCGGGATATACACATTTTCAGATCAACCAGTCACGAAGTAATGCACGCCAGCCAATGTAACAAAACTTTAGGCTTGGATATTGTAAATTCCAACCCTCCGATATTTACACACTAGCAAAGTTCGCACGGGGTAGCCGATTCTGTGACTCTGTTCTTGCACTTATGACTTGAATCGACACATGAAAATGAGCCCCATCCCGGACTTTCAAGCCACTTTGACTTTTCCCTTCCGAAACACCTGTGCAAAGTACTCAGCACATTACAGCCTCGTCGACTCCGGCCATATCTCCTCTCTGGGCCGCCCCGCCCTCCAATCCCCGCGCCCCTCCACCATGCCCTCGAGCGCCGCCACCACTTCCCTGCACGTTGAACGGTCAACCGGATCGACGGCAACGCACTGGCGGATCAGATCCCAGAGTTCAGGGTAGGATCCCCGAGCCTTCTCAGCCTGACTCTCGGCGTGACTAAGATCCCCGGTGAGGCACTTCAGTAGTACTTTGCCGAAGCTGTAAACGTCGATCTTCTCCGCGGGGAAGTGGGGTTTGGGGTCCTGGCATAGAGAAACAGATGTTGCAATGGTATTGAATGATGTGCATGAATCGGATGACTGAACGCATCATCTAGATGACGTAATGCGGCTGCATCGCGTCGTCGCAATGTACCAAGAACGAACGAGTTCTCACCAGGAATACACATGATACTAATTTGTTCTCTTGCTGGCGCGGAATCACATCTTGGCGATATCATTCACAGTGTGCCCATGGCACCGCGGTTATAACGAGAACGCAGTAGACATCGACATTCGGGAGGCTAATGGACGGCTGATCTATATTTGTGGGGTCTTCGCTCGAAACCAGAAAGAAACCTCGGTGCAATTCGGTGCTATTCGAGTCGCATCAAGTCCAACACCAAAACTCACTGGCCCCATACCTGGCTGAGCTGGGCAGGCGCAAGCAACAGGACCCCTAGGAAAGCATATCATGAGCCCATGAGGGACAAGGAGTTTGTTTAGGGGGCCCAGAATGTTTGGATTTTGAGCATGTCCAGTTTCCGTCCCCCTCATGAAATTCATATCCGAAATCACAGGAATAGGGGATATCTGAAAATAATTGCAATCACCAGTAGAAAACGGCGTGCCTGAGATGCCAACTGCGATTCCATTTGACAGCCATTTTTATGCCAACCGCGATTCCATAGGCAGCCATTTTATGCCATCACAATCACTGCGGCGGCAACATTTTATTGTCAGAATTGCATCGCAAACAAACTCTGATCCCAATGAATCGTACAACGTATATATGTATACACACAGATGATGGGCTTTTCCCGATTCCCTGTTTTCGCTCCGTCCGGACAAGCCATGCATACCTGAGCGCAGAATCGGCCCTTTCTCAGCGCGTGTTTCAGAATCTCCGGCGCCACGTATCCCAGCGTGCCGCGCCCCTCGGCCGATATCGTGGACGTCAGCTTCCGCCTGGAGCACGTAAAGTCCGCCAGCTTCGCGCCGTCCTCCCGGTCCAGCAGAATGTTCGACGGCTTGATGTCGAAGTGGGTCACCCCGTTGTCGTGCAGATGACTCATCCCCCTCGCCACGTCCAGCCCGATCCTCAGAATGTCCATGCACGTGAAGTCCACGGTCATGTCCCCCATGCGCGCCTCGAGGTTCGTGTCCATCCACTCCTCCACTATGGCGGGGTCGCCACCCAGGCGCGCACCGATCACCCACACCACGTTTCGGTGATATGGCAGGCTACTCAGAATCTCAAATTCCTTTCTCAATAACTCGGTGTAGTCCTCCCCTCTCGCAGTTTTAATGGCCACCCTGTGGGCACTTTTTGGTCCTTCCAGCCAAACGCCCTCCCGAACAGTTCCGTGAGCGCCACTGAAACACGTCCCGCCTTCTATCACGGACACGTTGTCGATACCCAGTATGGGCGGTCACCAATGGTTCATAAGGCCCCCTCCACTTTCCGTGCCGCTCAGGTCGCTCTGCGCCCCTCCGGAATTAGGCCCCAATGCACGCATCCCTCTACGGTCGCTGGCAATTACCTCAAATGGCGATAACGGGCCTTGTCCTCCCAATCTGCTGCCCTCTCCTCCGCCGAGCAGCCAACCATTCTCTGTCTCCTGTTCTCCGTATCGGTGCAAATCCCTTCCATTAATTTGCGCGTCGTCTGCGTCTTCTTGCGATTCGTCTCCGGTACGGCGCCAAACGCCGTTTCTTATCCACGAGCCGTCGCTGTTCCGTCGCTTTTTGTCTCCATTTAGTTCCGTATCGTCGTTGCATTCCTGGGAGTTGCCTACGGTCCGTGTCAGTTCATCGCCTGTCCAGGGGATGTCTGGCAAGGAACGGGTCCTTCGACAGTTTCCGCCACTTGGCCTCCTGATGCCGCCGATGGCTGGTGAACACACAACAGGAAAATGCGCATTACTGTTAGACGTTAAGTTGGCTGCCCTTGTCTCAAAGTGCGTCACACAACTCACACAATGATTGTCACAACGCTGACTGGATCAATAGCAAATGTTGTCCAATGCAACGTCATGTCAATCGTCGCCATTTATCTCACTGTCAATGCGCACCTGCAGATCTCGCCGACACTATTGTCATGTGCAATTTTGTCGACGAGTTCAACGCCCCTGACAAAGCTGACCGTCGCGCCGACATCTGGAGGGGCTCTGGCGTCGAAGGCCAGTAGGTATCCGCGGGAGCATGGAAGTCGTTTACCGCGATCTGTGACCCAACGGCTGGGACCTCTGGGACACAGGGTCCAATGACTAGGGGCCCGGGAACCCGGAGCCAGGTGTCTTGTGGGCCGATTTCCACATCTCTTGGAACCCTGCGCCACGCTCCGGGGATGCCGTCCCTGTGGAGCGAGATTGCCAAGCACACATAATACATTGAGGACTGTGGCCGCGAGGGAAGGATGCTTTCGAAACTCTGCTCCTGCACTGAAAGATTCTGTGCTCGCGGCTTGCCATGGGCGGCAATATGCCAACTGGCACCTTCAGCAAAGCCAGGGCTGGTGTTCTTCCAGATGAAAAGTCTGTTCATGTAATTTGCACCGAGAGGATCAATGTCAACTCGGGCAATCTATTCCGATCCCTGTCGCGAAAAAACTGTATTGTCTAAATCTATGATTAATATTCCAAACGCACGGAGGATGAGCGAGCTACGAGTGCACGATACGGTTCCGTTGGTAAGAGATGATGGGGCTTATCCGAAGGTGGGCACTGAACGACATTTTGGAGGAGCAACGGGCCTTGAATGTGGACATGCGCAGTGCCTATGTGCGTGAATGAGGCATCTTGTGAGTGTTGAAAATGGCCGATTGGAAACACATAGAACTCCTTACGGGATTTACCTCGCCATACAATACGTTGAACACCAGACGGGGCACAACTTGACATTTCCAATATGCAACTGGAAGCGAACGGCTCATCTGACAAAGGATTCTCATAAAAGGAGAGCTACGTTTCAAGCGCACCTTTTCTGGAGCCTGCCGCAAAGGGACTGTAGGGTTCCTGACGCTTTGGCCTCCACTCCCAGCATGGCAACCAGCACCACGAACACCAGTCCCGCTATCGCCACTCCAACGGCAACGCCCACCACCCCGGAGGAGGACGTGCTCCTGCTCTCTTCCTGAAGACAGATAAAAGCTCTCATATTACCAAAACATGAGTTACGCAAAATTTTGGTGGAAAAGCGGGGCAGAAGTGCTTTCAGTCCGGCAGACTGACGGCCGCCCGCGTGCTGACACTGTGCTTTGCACTTGGCGCTTGCCCGTGCCAGAGACTCGGGATTATCGGAGACGGGAAAGACCTTTGCGCGACCAAAGCCGCTCCCGCACGCGGGAACATTGTGCCTGTGCGTCGCGGGTGCAAATTCTGCAATGGGCTGTCGGAGGCGTCGGAATATCTCACAGGCCTAGAAAGCGTAACACGCACACGCTGTGCAAGCCGGAGATCGGCACTGCCTGCCGGGGCGCCTCCAGAAGCCGAGAGGCGCCACTGAAATCGCACCGCTCGGTACCTGGCCTCAGCTGTCAGCTCAGCAGGTGACATCGAAGCTTTCAATACACTAATTTTAGCAGACCACGCCCAGGCCAAATAACATCCGGAAGTAATGGATCCATAGGAACAAACGCGCAGTGCCCAAGTCCTGAGACAGTCAGCCGTGCACTTCCGGGACTTCGTAAAGGCTGCAAACCAACGCGGGTGATGTTCCCCGCCCACATGTGAGATGGAGTCCATGGAATCGAGTCAAATACCTGGCAATGGATTTGACAGAACATTTTCAGGCATGTGATCCATTTCAATGGGAATTCTAGGAGCAATGGCTTGATGGAAATGGTTGCTTCTGTTTCTGGAGCAAATCATGCCATGGGGCCGGGGCGGAGACATGCGCTTTCGTTGTGGTGCTTGCGAGGCACCGCTTTTACCGACATGGGAAAAATCAGGAACCAAATCTTGGTAATGCGATTGGGAGCAAATCGGAGTTGTTGCGACGTGTGGGGACACGGAAGGCGGCGCGAAAGGCTGGGTGTGGGGTGGAAGCCTTGCTTACAGTGCGCTTCTGGTTCTTGGAAGTCACCACCCGGATTCCTTACTTCAACTTCATATAGATGCTGCACCTGTACGAGTCGCTGTTTCGTTGCGGCTTCCATTCATTGCGATTCCGTGCGTTACACAAGGAAAGGATCAAATACCGCATGGGGGTTGAAAGTGAGGCGTTGAAGACCGCAAATTCATGTGTGTCCGCGTCATGGCCTGCGATGCACTGTCGCTGTCGCCTCAAAGGCACGCCAGGCCTGGGGAACTTGTTGCCGCTTCGAGCTTGATCTTGCATATCTCGAATGCCCGTAGCGCTGAAGACGGTGTATAAAATGATTCGATTACGGACACGTTTGAGCGTGTGTTCCTGAAAAGCAGTACCAGATGTGATGCAAAGCACGTCGTCTGGGCGCGGGCGGCTACGCCTCCTCGGGGGGCGCGTACAGTTTTCGAACATCTTTTATCAAAATCACTGCTGTTGCTATACACGCAAGTGGCATGTTCTTCAACGTGTTTGCGTGCCTTTGAATAAATGTTTGCTTTTTTGCCGTCTCTGCTTGAATCGGGAAGGCGCATTTGATCCATTAGAGTATCTCTGAATACCTCGCCAAATCCCACTCTCCGCATCCTGCGGATAAACGAACGACCGTAGATAAAACGGCGAGGCAATTGCTACTTATATGTGACCTACACTACAGAAGCTTCTCTCTTTATTTCAATCTACTCGTCTTCAATTATATTGATGTATATTTTCCTCCTTGTTTTTGGTTGTTGGTAGTTGTTTGGCATCTGGCTTTCGGAATCGCAATCCCATATCGTACCTCCTGCGATATAGCTTCGTCCCTTTGCTCCCTTTGAAGCTGTGCACATGAACAGAAATTTTGTAATTGACTAAACATCTGCAGAATGAACATTTCGTCAATGGGTATAGATAAATTCGGCAACTTTGTTTTCTTCTGCAAGAGTCTGAGATGAATGTCAGACACTATAATGTGCGTGTGTACCTGTCGCAAAAATGAACTGGGGCACACTCAGGTCCGCGAGCAACAAAAGCGCATCAGCACAGTTGACAGTACATTGGCTGGTGTACCCTTGGTGATTTCAGCTCAAAATACACCAATTAGCATAATTGATTCAAGCTGAAATTCGATGTTCTAAAAAGGGGGGCGCTGGAAACGAGGAAGAATACCCATAACAATAGAACATGCACGTAACTAGTCAACTAAATGACAAAGAAAGCCCTGGCAGTCCCAGTGCTGGGTACTCGCAGTTTCGTTGGCGTTAAGAATGCATTCTCTTCAAGATATTTGCCATGAAATCTAAGTCAATGCATAATTGCGATGTCAATTCACCGCACAAATGCAAGCATAGTTTTCATCAATACAAATGCGAACTTTAGGTAAGAATTGGGAGAGGGAGGTGATATTATTTGTGACATGATGAAACTGCAAATTGATGCGGAAGTAAATACACTGGCGGAAACGCCATTTTGCGGCGCCAACTGCGACACAGTTTAGACAAAAACTGACGCCACCATGCTGGCAACAGCGGCGCCGGGTAGCTGCGACGGCACGGATTAGTTTCAAATGGCATGACATGTTGGCGTTTTCCACTGGCAACAGACGCGAGGCAATACAACATGATCCCTCAACCTGGGCAAGGCACTCTTGCGGTAAGTCTTCCTCCGCGCAGCACAGGATATCCTCTTCCTGCACCAGTTCCGGCCCCCTGTCGCAGATGGCGGCGGTAGAAAGGGAATCATCGATAACTACGTTCTCGACCGCGCTGCACGTGTCGGAGACCAGACAGCCCTTAGCCGTGAAGTTCGCGAGCTCTTCGGCCAGCACTCGTTCCGGAGCTTCCTGTCGCAAATTGGAACGGAGCAGTCATCGATGGACAGAGTGCGAAATACCGCGTATCGCAGTGGCAACGCGCTACTAGTGAAAACGAAGAAGGCTTCCTCCTCCGGTGCACGCATGAGCAAACGTAGTCGACGCCGCGATTCATTCATTCCGCAATACATTGATTCAGTAATTTTGAATTCCGCAAATTGACAATTGTGCATTTTATTAACGCCTCTACTTTGGATTTTGCGAAATCTACACACTCTCTTCGCTTAACAC